ACGATTGGTTTTCAGTACAATAAAGCAAAAATATTTTTTTCTCAGTTTTTGCTGAGTATTTTACACTTTACTCATTGTACTGTTTAAAAGTATTGAAATTAGGGCATATGTGAAGCATTTTAAAAATTAAAATTTAATGGACGAGAGTAGTTTTAAATTAGTTTTCAGCAGAATCAGATACTGTCCAGGTGTTAAAACTACAACCTAAACAGTACAGCTCAACCCTGTGACGTGACCACACAGGCACCTGACACTATTTATATACACCAACACATACATTGATTATTTCCCATCCAAGATCGCGTCAGTCAATATGCACAGCATCAACAAGCTAATTTGACCCATCCCGCTTATATGACTGTCAAGCTCATTATTATTAACAACGGTGATATGCATTACAGAGTCCCAATGATAAGTGGTCCTTGAGAATGTTACAAGGCAACCATCAGTATCAATCAAATCGGTTACCCTGAAAACCAAATTTCTATACGGACAACTAGAAAAACTTGCTTAAGTAATGCCAAACAATCCACAATGTTCATAACGAACATCTTGTTTCACAGTAAACCTTCAGCTCTATACAGCAATCAAATTTAATGGCATGTACATTATATGGCATTGGGTAGTAAGAGATGTAGTCTAGCTTGACGCAAACGGACTAAAACACACACTTAATCCTCTTTGTCTCATGTCGGGACATGTTTTCATCGCACTAGTGAAATTTTCACCTTTCCGACAATATGAGACCTGAGCTAGGGATGTTATCCCTGAAACTTTAAAGGTTGATTTTAAAATATGCACTGATAAAAACGCAATCAAGAGTATAATTATTGATTATTTTATGATGATAATCTCTTACTGATTACTTTAATAGGTTACTCTGTATCGTAATCCAATAAATTCTGTGGTGTGCTGATTCACTTCTTACACTAAAGTTAAAATTATTTAGTTGCAATTGTCCTCGAAAAGAAATACTATAGATAGACTATAATTTTTCCATAGAATATGTTCTCTATGACAGCAGTCTAGGCTTCATCTTCTCGATAACCGCAGGGCTGAATCAATAGTTTTGCAGCCATATTATTCCAGAGTAATTGTATTACATTCAATCAATATTGTCACTATTAAACTCACTGATTCCGTTACATTTTCTGTACTACTAAGTTGACATTATCAAATTGTAAAGCAAAGAACAGGTTATAACATGAACAAATTAATAATTATCAAAACAAACGTGATTGGATATTACTCCCTTTTTTTTTGAAAAATTTCAAATATCACGAAAATATAATTTAATTTAAACGAAAATCAGAGATTTATACACATCCCTTTACTATCTTGGAAAGAGGAAGAAGAAAGTTTTGATTAGTTTAGACTTTCATCAGTAACTTCAAAACTTGTCATATTTAAAAAAAAAACCATTATTATAAAATGAATTGAGGCTATTTACAGAAATGAGTTTCAATAGAGATTGGTATCAATTTACACTAGTATAATATAGCAATAATGCAAATCGGTTTAAGAGACTAAACAGTATATTGCAAATGTATATTTTCAATATTGAGAAAAATTCCACAACATTGATAGTAACGAAGACCAGAAAGCTAGAAATGAGTGGTTACGTAAGAGACAAACTCTAATAGTAAATCGGAAGGTCGTGACCGTTTTAGAGAAAGAGACAAATGAAATGTTGTGATTTAAGGAAGAAACATTTATGCTACCATGGCAGAGAAAGACAAAAACACTTCTTCTTTTTGGCACATGAATCAGGTTTCTGAAGCCAGAAGACAATAGCTTCAGAAAATATTCAGAAATCTGGATCTCTGTTGTTTATTAATAATGTTGAAAGATTTCTGTAAATACATTGACACCTTTAATAGTAGTATAAAGAGGGCACTTTTCAAATTTTGATTGGGTTATTGAAAACGTTGTTTTATACAGGATTGGTAGTTTGGCTGCCATATGTCATAAAGTTCCACTTCGATTAATGGAGAAGTGTTGGGGATGTTAGATCCCCAGAACTCGCTTGATAAATGCCTTATTTTGGATTTCACGTTTTCGAGCATGGGCTGATCAGTTAACTTTGAGATCGCATTTCCCACTAGGAAAATCCTTGGCTGTGATTGGCTGCTGTGTATTTTAGTGTGTTATTTTCGTAGCTGTCCCAAGGAC